TTTTTTTTTTTTTTTTTCAAGAAACCACAGGTTTCCACGTAACCCAATAGTTCTCTTGAAAAGTGGAAAAAAAATTTCTTAATCATTTAACATTGCAGACGCGTGCGTGCTAACAGCAAAACCAAGGTCAAGATCAATTTTGCGGCAAGTTCTTTATTTCCATCAAATCGAAGGTGATTTCATCCATGATAGCCACGGACGAACTTTTTCTTTTCACCCTGTACATAAAATGGATGCCATTATGCATGGTGTACTAAGAGTACCTAGACCCAAGAGTAGAAACTTTTGGGTCTAGCTAAAACTTCAAGGTCAATTTCAATAAACACAACAAGAATTTCAACTGAGTTCATCAACTCTCGAAATTAAGAATAGAAAAGAAGCTGTCTTTGCCTCACTTTTATATTTTCTAACAAAATATATATATATATATTTTTTTCTATGTTTTATATACATGAATTAGAGGTTGAATCATGACATTAAATTTTGAGACGTTGGAGAAAAAAGAAAGAGAATTTCAAATATAAAATTTCAACTTTGGATATTTGTTTGTTAATTTTCATTGGATTATACAAGGTGGTCCAAAATATCTTCTCGAAGATTGTGACGATGCAAAAAATATTTTTCGCCTAACACGAGTGATAGGCCAGTAACTGGACAGAATATTTTTTTTCCAAGATCATCTTTTTCGAAGTTTTCAAGGTCATCGATATTTTTTCTCTCATAAACTATATATATATATATATATATATACACACACACTATATGCTATATACTATATATATAGTATATATATACTATATACTATATATAGTATATATAGTATATAAACTATATATATACTATATATACTATATATATATACTATATATACTATATATACTAACTATATATACTATATATACTAACTATATATATTATATATATAAACTATATATATATAGTTTATATATATATATATTATTACATCGCGTAGCTGGTAAAAAATCAGTAAAAAATACGTGAAATTTATTAGTAAAAAATACGTTCAGATATGTAAAAAGTACGTGATCTTGAAAATTTAAATTTCACGTAGAAGTTTATCTCTATTGAGATACACAAACTTTGGCCAAGACGCGACAATCGAATAATAAATGTAAATGTTATGTATTACATCGTCAATGATAATCTTTTCTAGCACCTTGAAATTTATCGGTAATTCATAATAGAATACTCGACGCGAGAAAAGATCGATACGATAGTCATTTAGGATAAAAGTGACCAGAGTTTGAGAGAAGCAATTCAAAGTATATATCCTAATCGTAATTGTTCGTCACAAAATACATACTCAAAGGTGATCAAAAATTTTCATCAAACTGGCAGTATAGTGGCAGTATAGTGGCAGTATAGTGGCAGTATAGTGAAAAAACGTGCGAGGACTAAAGTAATGTTAATAACGAACAAATGAAGGAATTGTAGCTAAAGTTAATAAAAAAAAAAAATCCACAGACAATTGGACAACTAGAGTGTCAGAGTGGCAAAACTAATGCAATACGGATATTAAAAGTATCATTTATCTCTTCATCGAGATCTTCAGAAGAATTTTGTAAATCGTATGCATTTCTCTCAGTGGGGCAGCAACATGAAAGTTACATTCAATTATTTTTTAAAAGGAAAACTTAAATTTTTGAACATCAATCAGTAATTTCAAGCACATATTCTTTACATATCTGAATGCTTTACCAGCTACCTGATGCAATAAAAAAAGTACATAGCTATATGAAAAAAAAAAAAAAAACCACCAATGACCTTGAAAACTTAGAAAAAGATGGTCTTGGAAGAAAATATTCTTATCAATTATTGGCCTTTTAGTGCCATTCATCTTAGATGAAAAATTTTTTTTGCATCACCACAATTAAAAAAGATATTTAGATAACTTTATTCATTTAAATGGATCCTGTATATATAGATATTACTAATTCAATAATCCAGCTATAGCACTCATCCTTGGTGACGGTCAAGTAGTTGACACATAACATCAGCCTCAGTATCTATCTAGGGTGTCTCATCTACAATTAATATGATTAAATTTCATTTTCTATGTACCAATTTTTTTCTAATTTTTTTTTTCCTAATCTTTTCGCATTATTCGTTAAAACAAAAATAGGAATTTGAATTGAGTTTATGTTAAATATTTTCACGAACGCCGATTCTCCTTATTCAAAATGTTATTTAACAAATTGATTCATGCATTGATGATAAAATATTTCTCTACTTGGTTCGAGCACTATATACGTGTTCAAATAAATGGTAAAATTACGATTGCCATTCAAATTTATCATTTGAAAAGGTCCAACTTACAATAAAAGATTTTTACCTCGTACATACTATACCTACTGAGCTACCTGACAATCAACAAGTACTATAGTACTATAGTAAAGTATTACAACGGCTGTTACAAAACTGTTGCATTAGTAATACCTGTATAGACAGAATTCAATGTACTATACCGAAAGGTTTTTATTAATCTCGGAAACTAATAAATACCCGAAACTAAAATTATACATTTTAAGTTCTCCATCTTCTATTCTCTTAAAACTTCATCCAGACTTTCCGAGGCTTTCAGAGGCTCCCCCCCCCCTTGGTGTTGACACTAATAAAATAATCCTATTAAAGGATTTAGAAATTCATATTAATCACTAACTCGTATATTCTGTTGCCTCGATCGCCTCTGTACCGATCGTACAACATCTGACGAGCATTCATGTACGCTTCATCATCCAAATCCCCTAAATTATACGAGGGCCCATCCTGCAGTTCCTCTAGAAACAATTTCGCCAGCTCCTTGTTATCGAAGTTCAGTCGATCGGAACCATAACCTCTTTTACGACTGGAACTTCGTTCGCGTTCTCGGAACAACGATGTAACTGGTTCCTCCTGGACATCATCGTCATAATAATAAGACTCTCTCGCCTCTTGTGAAAATACAAAATAGAGAAAAAGGAGAAACGGTACCTGTTGTTGAAGGATGTTCTCTAGATAATCGATCAATGCTTTCTCGAGTAGTTTATTGTTCAAATCTTGGAAGCCATTTCCAACAGTTTCTAATTGCCCAGCTTCTAAAAGAAATTTACGTTTTGTAATGAATACGGTATATTTGAATTCTTCTGCAATTAGTCCAATGAACTAGTCTAATGAAATCATAAATTTTGGTAAAAAATGTGTAATTTTTTTATACTTCAAGGAATTTTCATTCGCAATGAAAAATGTTGAAGATGTTTTATAACGTTTTTCTTCTTAATGATTGTATAGTAAATGTGTATAATAAATTTTGAGATACATAATTGTATATAATATGAAGTATCATTATTATAATATGACATGTGATTATTATGTATATATGTATAATATGAATATGTATAATGTGAAATATGTAATATTCATATAATATTTTCTTTGATATTACAATTCACATTCATTTCGTAGGCAATAACTTGAAGATGTTGAACTCTACTCGGGACAAAATTCGATGTTCTGCCCAGATAAACAATTATATTAATCCGAGTATACTCTACAAACTTTTCATTTTCAATTTCCACGAAATAAATGATGAAAATCCTATCAACAACGTGAACGTGATAGACCATCACAGACAATACCATTGGGTAAGAATTCTATTTCCTCCTCTTCCTCTTCCATTTCCCTTTCACCTTGACGTTCTCTGTCCAGTTTCCTCTCCCCTTCGCCGTCGTGATATTTAAACGAACGTAGATCATTGTAGTAGTCCTGCGAATTCGTATCCAGGGATCGTTGTTTCCTAGTAATGGCGTCCAAAGCGCTTTTCAGCGATTCCTCTGTCGAATAATGGGGCACGGGTGTCAGCGCTGTCGCCAACCCCACGAATAAAAACGCCAGTAGCCATTCTTGACGCAACATTTTACCTTCAACGACAAATAAATAATAATCTTTAATTTATAGATTTTCATATTCAATTTCTAAGATAATCTACATATTTGAGATAATGTACATGTTTTAATGTGTAAATTTTATTTGAATAATAAAATAAAAATTTCTTAATATTATGAAATTATTTTTACCATGAAACCAAATTTTATCTGCATTTGTCGTGAATCACATTGTTACCAAAAACAAAAGTCTAAGGGATACTAAATGAGATTAGGGTACAAAATCAAAAACCCCCCTCTCCATCTGTACAAGGTATAAATACTTCCAAAAATTTGAAAGCAAAATCAGTTGGTCATAAACTTGTTTACATTCAACAACGAGCTATGGAAAATATGTTGTCTGGTTGGACTTGGCATGGATGTTCCGATGGTAAGTGAAGATCATTGCAATACAAAACTTAATTTAATTTATCGGAATGAGACGGGGAAATTCCCTTTTTCTTGTGCAAAAAAAGAAAAAAGAAAAAGTGACAAAATCCAACATCAAAGTGAAAATCAAGAACAGTATATACAGGGTGGGCAATCACTTCCTACTAAAATAAATCTGTAATTTTATATATTTAAAAAAAAAATTTTTTTTATATTGATGTTTTATTAAAAAAAAAAAGTGGGAAGAAACTTTTGGCCTATCCTGTATAATATATAGATTATTACGAGATGAAGATATTAATATATAAGTACAATAATTACAGTGTTAGAAAATAAGACAAGTAAGCTGAGGATAAATATAAAATTTTACAGTGATTATATATAAATAGTTAGTGTTAGATGAAAATAATGAAAACATTAGGAAAAATAAGAGAAAATAGAAAATAGATTAAAATAACAAATACGGTGCATAAACGCAGTAAATACTATTCATAGGAATTTTTCTAGCTCTTTCTTAATTTTTTTATTTCTGACATATACCAGATCATCCATGGCGATGCACACACAGGAGATATGAGCCGATTGCTGACCAACTGGAGAGATTAATAGAAGGTAACAAAGCCAGTAAAATTTTCTAATTTAACGGTTTCTCCAAATTTTGACCATTTCGCTGCACACTCTTTTTCTCTTCGTTTCGTTCCGGATGGCTGCACGTGTTCTTCCGGTCTTTCACATTGAGAAACACGAGATCTAGTATTCCTTTTAAAAAAGCATAGAACGTTAAAAGTCAAAATTAAGGAGAAATCGTTGAACTAGAAATTTATCAAAATCCGGACGTCCCTGAACGTTTTAAAAACCAAAACAAAGCCTGGAGAAATCCGCACAGATGGCAGCCCCTGTTGGTGACAGGAAGCAGAAAGTTGGTTGTGCCGTACGACTTATTCCTCAGAATGAAACGAAATTTTTTGAGAGGATAGAGAAAAGGGAAAGAGAATCCCGGTTATAAAATTTTAGCGGCGAGTCTTTATTAGTTTCTGAGATATTGATGAAAAACTTTGGGTTAAGAAACGATACACTGTACGACGTACACAACGATCAATGATGGTATAGGTTAATGTTGATGAGCGTCTGGGAACTGTTTACATAACGGACGACCAACCAACCACTCCGCGTGAATGGTTGGAGAAACAAACTTGACAACAATATCAAAAAAAGCTATTTTTGAGAGTGATTATTTTACGAAGTGAGAATAATTTTTCTCAAGTGTTACCCCGTCGTAAATTTTATAATCTATCAAACACTTTACAGAATCGATAGGCCCTTAACACATTCCTTAACTTCATCGTGGAAAATCTAAACGATAAACAGAACTCGCCCGTACGAGTTATTTTTTTCGGAAAGAGATGCGCCAAGTGTGTAATGAAAGACAGAATTTTAGAAAATACAAAAAGGATATGTTTGGAGATCAGTTGAGGCGAACACGGCTGGAGTCGATTCTCCAACAGTAGTTCTTGTACACAGCAATTAAACTTCGAATAAACGTATAACAAATTCGAATAAACCTTCGAATTTTATATTGTAATATATTGAATTTTATCTACAATTTCATGTTACTAACAATAAGATTTATTTAATTACATTAGGTTAAGTTAGATTCGGGTATGATATACTGAATTTTGCAGATGTTACTACCTGTAAGTGTTAATTAGATTTTAGGTTAGATGCCATCTCGTGTTATAAGAGGTTAGATTGATTTCATTTTTAATTGTCGTTACACAATAAGATTCATCGATTTTAAGTGCGACTGTAGACACTGAGGATGCTATTATGTCATTGGTTACAGCGACGAGAGTCGTACGACACCGACTAATGTAGCAAAGATGATTTTTTTTATTTTTGTAAGATGTTTATCCGTAACAAAGATTTATTACGTTTATAAATACATATTTTTATACGTCTGTATGACTCGAATTGACCTGTTATTTTATCAATATTTTTAGAAACCTGCAGAGACGTGCCACTAGAATGTTTATATATATTTGATCTAGTAGATCTCGTATGCGAATGCGTAGGTATTGATGGTAGATACTTTAAGAGGTTGACTTTGGTATTCGAAAATAAATAAAGAATATCGAGAGGAGAACGACAGAGGAGAAAAGGGGAAAGTGTGTTAATAGTCCCGTTTAATCAGCTTCAAATCAGTATCGATTTCGCGGAAAAGCCAGCCAAGTTCCTTAACTGAAGACGTAGTAGTGAAAGCCCTGGTGATGCAAGATTGCTCTGATCGATCGAGCTTTTTCACTGGAAAGAGCGGAGCACGCTATGGATCGATCGATAATTAGCCATTAGATGATCAATCAGTATTTTCACAAAATTATCAAGTGTCGTTAAAATAATATTAATTAAGAATAAACGTCAGTGATTGTTATAAATATAAAATGTATTGTCGTAGATATATAATAAGCCCAAAATGTATAATCCGTATAAATTCATTTGCAAGTTTGAAAGTTAATGATGAATTCGAAAAGCGACGAAACAAGAAGTAAGTTTTTTATATAGAAAATGCATATACATCTCTCTCTATCTCTCTTTTCTGACTCACGGTGTATAAGTTCTAGATTATTGCAGTATATAATACTATATAAAGCATATAATACTATATAAAATACAATTCAAATGAATCAATTTAATTTATCTCTTTAATCTCAACATATATAATTAACAGATAAATTGATAGAAACAATAGCTACTTTTACAATAATTAATAGATATACTAATTTGCTTTATAGATTATTAAGCTAAAAAAGCCTTTGCAGAGTGACTTTAAATACATCTGTTCGTTGTGGATATTTTCAAATGAAATTGGGCCATATATTTCTGAAATTGAAAAAGCTCGTGCAGATTTTATGAAACATCAGTTAAATGAAGAGAATCTAAGAGAACAAAAATGTTAAGCTTCCAAGGCAATTGAACTAGGTATGACACTCGAATTTACTAAAAAAGAATCTAAAGCTCGAAAATGCAGAAAATTAACAGTGAAGAAATATCAAATTCAATAAAAATATCAGGCTTCTGACAGAATTGCATTAGGTAACCTATTATATGATATGTACAATGACAATCAATTTTTCTAATGGCAAAATAAATTTGACACTCAAATTTACTAAAAATGTATCTAAAACTCGAAAATGCAGGAAATTATGTACAACAGTAAGAAATGTTAAGTACAATAAAAATATCAAGCTTCTGACAGAATTGTACTGGTTAACCTATTATATGATATATACAATAAAAATATCAAGTTTCTGACAGAATTGTACTAGTTAACCTATTACATGATATATACAATAACAATCGATTTTTCTAACAATAAAATAGATTTGACACTCGAATTTACTAAAAATGAATTTAAAACTCGAAAATGCAGAAAATGAACAATAGAGATACGTCAAATACAATAAAAATATCAAGCTTCTAACGAAATTAAGCTAGTACCAGCTCATAACTAATTATAATATTTATCCGTGGCAGTGTATATAAAATGAGTTTTTTCTAATAACGGAAGAGGATAAATTCTTGGTATTGGGGTCTCAGTATTGGCATTAAGGGAGAACATTCTCCCCTTGTTCCTGAACGGCACCTCTCAGATCGATAGACGTACCTAATGCATTCCACGCGTACAATCAGCTCTGCCGCACCGTTGTGAAATCCCATTAACATTGACCCTCATATTTCCTACGTATTTATCACGTATTTACAATATCCCCGGCATGCAATAATCGTTTCATCGAGGAAAGAGAAGCCTAGAACGGAGAATCGTATTGGATGATCATATACATTAAGAACGGATCAATAACCGATTATCGAGCCATATAATGCTCGAGGTTCGGTTTTAAGCCTCGTTTGAGTGATTTAACGAAAGTGTGTTGTCGCAATAATGAGTAAATTCGCGCATTCTATCTTAGGATCGTTCACATCTAAACTTTGATAAAATTAACTGGCAATGAGTTAGTTCGGACTTCGAATCAACAAAGAGATAAATTTGGCTTGAAATTATTCGTGTGTTTAAATAAATCGTATATATTTAAATTTTTATCGTTCGATCTTCTAACACTGCGAATTCATACATATATATTTATATATATATATACATTATATATATATTTATACATATATATACATATTTATACATATATATACATTA